TATATATATATATATGTATAATGGCATGGCAACACAAGTAAGAGCTTATCGCCGTATCGGCCAACGGAAAACGTTCATCCTTAGTCGATGCACGCGCGTCTGGCACGCAAGCACGTGTATTAAATGCGTTTCTAGTGTACGTCGAATCAAAATCAAATCGAGCCTGGTACGTGATCGGATGGCTGCGGAACCAAACAGAGACGGCGGGATCCTTTCCCGATTGAGACAACGACGGCTCCCCTAACTCGCCCCATGCAGTTTCTCAACTGTAATTTCAACTCGATAGTTGCCACGATATTACGGAACTGAGCGTAGCTCTCTAACTCCATTAATCATTACGGCTTCGAAATCGGCCCAAGATCGTTTTTGAGAGATCCGAACAGTTTCTACTTGAATCCTAATCAGTCTTGGCCACGTCCTATTCATTTTCTTAGCCTCTGACAAGGGCACATGTTAATGCGAATATATAAATCAACATACTGACGTGCAATGACGTGGAATAATTTGGAAAACTTATACACTGACAGAAAAATGTATTCAATTTTAACAAATAATTGTTTGAATAGTACTAATATAACATTTATTTATGGAAGATGAATATTTACTAAATAAATATAATAAGAGATAAATCAAGTTAATGGATCTTGTACCAAATAAATATATGTTTATAGTAAATATTTAACTGGCACTATATTCAAATAAATATTTATTAAAATTTAATACATTTTCTTTTTAGTATATTCATGTATATTATTACATAAATCGTATTTATTTTAAAAATAAATTGTACTTACATAACGAAACTTTTGTTCACACATATGCATATAATGTGCTTAGAAAAGAATATATTTGAAATAAATCTTATACAATAGCATTGTGGTATATTCAGATCTTTTACATTTAAATTTTTATATAAAATCTGACATAAAAATTGGAATATTGCATGAGAAACAAGTTCCCGGACAGGAAGTCTAGAACGAGAATAACCTCCGGCGTATCCTTTTTTATAAGCAATTTATCTATTTTATCTCCATTTAATGTTGAAAGCAATTTACGGTACAATTGTGGAAGATTTGATTATATAACGATTAATACGCGGATGCGATTATTCGGAATTCAATCTCAATTAGAAACGAGTTATTGCAGCGATCTTATCGTACGATCTTATCATAGAAAATAAATTTATTTGTACGAGAATAATGCAATTTTTACAAATTCTTAGCAAATACTAAAATTATATTGTAAGCATTTTGTATTGACAATATATTTAAATCATATTAATGATGACGTTTTAATGATGAATTTGGAAGCTTTTAGAAACGTATTCTAACGTTTAAGCTGAAAATTAGTGAAATAATTTTAAATGAAAATACTATTTATGATTTTAAATGCAAATACTTATATAAGCAATTTTTCTTAATAAGTTATCTCACGAATGCGGATTGTATCATGAATCGTATGTTATACTTTCTTTAGATTAATAATCTAATTTTCGTACGTTAGCAATTGAAAGAGTTGCAGTCGTCAAGTCAATAAATTGTAGTAATAAATACAATAATTTTTTAAATTTATGAAAAATATTATGCAATTTATTATCGTAGATTAAACGGAAACTTTATTAATGTTGCACCAACTGAACGTTCATTCTCTTTCTTCTATTGCTTTAATACTATTGCTTGAAGATAATGGTCTACTTATTTTACATAGGTTCCGTAATAATAGATCATAATAGACAATTAACATCCATCTCAAATTGTTTTGTAAATGAGTTAACGTAATTGACAATAGATTATCTCAACTCTATAATTTAGCCTTTATCATTCTCAAACACGCTTCAGCTTTATATTGCGTATACACGCAGTAGAATTCATTCGACGGATCATTAATGTTTTATGACGGTAGTTGATCGGTGAATGGCCTAGCCTGTTTAGCAGGCAATTACTGATTCTATGATGCCCCCTTCGAGAAGACTCAATAGACGTTCCAGATGCAAAAGAGAATCAGTCTCTTTCCGCTTAAATTTGGGCGAGTTCAGTACACTCGCAACTCCGAGCAATCGTAATTTCGCAGGCAGCAGAAGTTTAGCCGCCGGGCTTTCGTTCGAGAGATAGAGCTTAGAAGTCAAATATCGGGAATTTCATTTGCGCGCCGCTATGTATTATTCAATCGTACTCAAAGGAGTTTCCTCGCGGGATAAGCTGCCGTTGAACTCATCAATCACTGTTCTCGGCTCTGACAGACTATTCCAATAAGCTCAACTGTCGGGATTAGTACTTGTGAAATCGATGTATATCATCAAAGTGAACAAAAAGTGAACTTTGTTTCAATGCCTACCGAAGGCACAAGTATGCACTTCTTTATTTCGATATCGCAAGAATAGACAATATACACATAATGACTTATAAATATTTACTTACTACCAATTTGGAATCATATGGAGGAAATTTATATATTTCAAATGTACAAATTTCCTTATAAATTATTTTCATAATAGAGTACAAAGTAACAAAATCCTAGATTGTATTGTGGTCTAAAGATACTACATAATATAATACTTTCATGAAATATTTATTAATGTTTTATTGATAAAGCAACTTAGCCTTATGTAGATAACAGTTAGTCAAAACAACATTAGCTATCCTTTTGAGATATTTTTGGTGATGAAGTAATTTTGTCGCATGTTTTATAAGGTTGACAATAATCCTTGCAACGTGAAACTTGATCAATATAAATTTCCACTTCGGTATGTGGCTCCTTAATATACTTAAAAACAAGTTCGCCATCTCTTACGTATTCATGAAATGGTATTACGCATACTCGTTTCCAACCGAAACCTTCCGCGATCCGTGCGAGATATCTGTAACGGATATGTTCATATTAGATATCAGACTACTGATTTATCCGTGTAAATCTGTCGATTAAATTTTGTGATCCTATTCGCATAATATATGAGGTGCAAGGATATGGATAGATAATGTTTCGTATCAGATAACACGCTCATACGCTAAGAGACGCATCAAATCATCACATGCTAATCTTAATTAACGCGATCGTTATTCTTTTAATATGACACGAAGCTATATGTCAGCTGTCTCCAGTTTGAATTACAAGGTAACAGTTACGTTGAACCGTTGTGATGTACAACGGATAGAGTCCAACGATCTTTCTCGTTGATGCGGCCCGTCGTGAAAATTACTCAAGATCCTGTCGAGGCGAGCGAACCACGCCGAAACGACTCGCATTCCTTACGAGTCTGTAGCCTAACCAGAATTCCACGGTCAGCCAGCTGGACTCACCTATTGTCGCAGTCAACACGGAACAATCGATAGCCGCAATCGCGCGCGAGATACCAGCTGTCTAGCACGAGCTTTCTAGCAATACCCTGGTTCCGGAAGTCCGGTCTGACCGCGAGATAGCTGCACTCGAAGATCTTGAGAACGCAATAGCGCTCCCAGAGATTCGGTTTGCCGGTCACGTAAGCATCGAACTCGATCACGTCGCGGGCTGGCCCGCATTCACAGCGGGCGAACTCGACAAACTTGTCGGGATCCCAAGGACAAGAGCCGGCGTTCACCACAGCACCTATAATACATTCATCTTCTTCTTCTTCAACAATTAATGTCATACCCTCTCGGACTTCATTGTACATAATTTGTAGTAAGGATGAAGCAGGCTCCTGTTTACTCAAACCAATGTTTACCATGGTTGGATCGTCCTTGTAGAATGCGTCACACATAAAAGTCATTACATTGTCGTAGTCCGCCGGAAGAGCCAATCGTGTCTTGTAAACTGGTTGATCACACTTCTATTACATATATTATTATACATATATTTTTTTTATACAAAACACACACACACACACACACACACACACGCACACATATATATTATATATATATATATATAAAATATAAATTTTTCTGATAATAAATATGAATATAAATATCAAGAATTTAAGTTTATAATGAGATTTTTTTCTACGAGTATATAACACTTAGGATTTAATTTATTTTACAGATTAGGAAAATATTTGTTAAAATCTACATTATGTATTTTTTTTTCATTTCTGTAATATTTTTATAAAACATAAATCTCACTTACGGAATAATTTTTCATTATGGTGCGCAAATGATAATCTCGATTTCTAAATACACCAAGATGCGACTCGTATTTCACACACCTTGCAATTGGGCAAATAAATCTTGACAAAATCGATATCATATTTCTGCACAGTGACCTCTTTGAAAATATATATCTACTCAGTTTTGCAATTCTTTATTAAAATATGCACACACCACGGAGCGTCCCTATATGCATTCCACAATAGATCTGCTGCATTGACGTCGATTGACATTTTACATATAGTTTTTATTATTTTTAGGTTCGTTTATTTATGTGTTCGTTTACGAGATGTAATACGCGAGATATTATATAGCAGCATAAAAACCAAAGTTCCTTACCTAGCTCTTTTTAGCATATTAATAATAAATTGTAACTCGTGAGACTACACACATGTGCCTGATGGAAAATTAAATATATTATTCACGTTTCTTCTGTGCGATGTAGTATTCCCTACTTTTCTGTCATTTTTACGATCTTCGCGTACTTCATGTTATTTACAAATTGCGAAACAGAAGCCTCCAAGTATTTTTGGTTGACTTTCTTCCGTTTCATTGCTAGGGTTTTTTTTTCTAATGAAGATAAACGGTGACAATAAACTATCGCGGAAAGACGATCAGATCCCCGAAATCAGGCGTTCTCAGAGAATCACACGAGCGCATCGGACATACGACGGTCAAATAAAAAGGAAGGAGAGCAAGATACGAGGCGAACGTCCGCTTTCGAAGGATTGGAGATTATCAGAAGATAAATTGCATTTCTTCTCGGGATAAAATGTCGCTGTCGAGGCAAACTGTCAGATCTACTTCTTTGACGTAAATTATCCAAGATCTGACGGTTCGTTACGTACGTGTTGAGGTTTCGCGAAAACATTGATTGAACGAAATAAAACAATTCAAATAACATTCGTTGTTACTTTTCTTGAATTCCATGCAAATTCGTAAAGGCGAGCGCGCTTCACTTCTATTAAGGAGCATTCCGGACGGTAAAACTTAACGCCGACGTTCCGCAGTTTCTAGAAGACCAGGTCGGACGATAACTCAAACACGGCTCTATTCATTCATGGCCGTTGTACGAAGTGATATGGGTGGCAGCTTGCAGAGCGGCATCTGATTTATGTATTCGCGCCGCGTTCCACCGCTTCCAATATATATGCACCTTTATATACACCGTGTACATAGACAGATACATATAATACAACCATCGCGTGCGTGCACGTGTAAACGCATCGACGACGTGTTTACGTGAGGGTGGTAGCTACGTGCGAATATACACACGTACGTATATAAGGTGGTACTTGCAGATACGTATGCGAGAACGGTAGGTGCCGCAGCTTATTGTTGATGAATGCAGGGAACCCGAGCTCACTGAGCCACGAAGGGGATGCGAGCTTTATACATACATATAGTGTAGTCAGACTACAGTGAAGTTGGTAGGAGGCCTATAGGTATACGTTACCCAAGTGAAATGCTCTTGCGGGCTCCGGTGGCGAGTTCGCAATGAGAACGCAAGGAGACTTGTATATGCATCAATTATGTGCCTTGATTCTCATTTCACGGCAAAACTACTCGCGAAAGATTGCAATTTATCGGTACAACAATGCGGGCATTGTTTAATATCCATTAACCGCCCGCCGGCCGAATGCGGTTACTGCTAGGTCATATATTCGATCATTTGCCAGTTGCATAAATAAAACTAGACTCATTGCGTTCTGATGAATTGGAGAAAGTGGGAAATTAAATTTATTGCCGAGACTCCAATTATGACTGCCAATTTTCATGCGGAAGTAGAAAATTGATAAAATAACAAGAATATTGTCAACTTGACAGATACACGGAAAAAATAATTTTAAAATTTTATTGGATACAAATCTGAAAATAATTTTGTTGGTTTATTAAATATTTATGTTAGAAACTAAAAAAATGATGATCATGCTCTACAAAATTTTTATCTTTTAGCAATTAGTTCGAATTTCCGATAAAATTATTTTCAGATCTGTGTACAGAAAATTTAGATCTTCCAGCAAATTCTTTCTATGCAGGAAAAGAAATTACAAAATTATAATAATATTACAATAAATAGTATGTTTATCTTTAATGGATTTATTAACAAAATATTAATTAATTAAATGTAAAAGCAATATAAAAAAATCAATCAATGTAAATATAAAACGTGAGAATTAAGAGAGAAAAGATTCGCATTTAATAATTTTATATTTCACTAAATGTGCAACGCGTGTACCAAATGAGATGGAATACGATAAATGTTTGAATATACAATAAATTTTGGAATACGTATATTGTACATTTGTTCGAACCTTTTTATATTTATCTTTGAATTAGCTGCTATAATATTGTACTATTGCGGCTCACGCAAGCGTCATGTTAACATAGACCGTCGTTCGCTGAAAGCGAACTTTCAACCCCTCGTTAAGCCTGTCTGCTTTATGAATCCGCCCAAGTTCCCGAAGAATCCGTCTTAGGGTGATCTTAGGTTTCTCGGTTGTCTCATCTTTTTTTCGTTTCACTGCTTGTTGGCTTCCACCTCGACAAATCTAGAATCATTATTTCTATCTTTCGCGTATTTGCCTTCAGCAGCAGCGTGTTTTTCGCCGTATCGACCATGGTTCTTGAAATGTCCACTCCGATGCCCGTTGCTGTAGAAATCAGCGTCCTTCTTGAACTCATCTTTGTGATAAACGTTGCGATATCCGGCGGTGTTATGAGCTTTCTCGTGACCATCTCTTGTCTCGTAGATAGCTCCCTTCTTTTTCCCAACTTCTTCTTTATGATTCTTCGCGCGATCCTCGTTTTCGGAATGGCTTTTACTCTCACCAGAGTCTTCGGAGTACTCAACCTTTTCGTTCTCCTTTTTCGTATCGCCCTTCGAACCTACCTCGAAGACGGCGAGGCTGTCGGTACCGTGATCATCTCTCGCAACTTGCGTCTCATACTTTGACGCAGCATAATGCGCATCGTTATCTTGATTAAATCTGTAGGATTTACCAGAATTTCCGTCGTCCGTCGCCGAGGCTCGTAAGGTCGCACTCTTGCGACTTGGGTTGGTTTGCGGTTTCGCAAACGCAATTTCCATGTGGGTGACTCCAGGTGGCTTCACGCCCTTATAACCGACCGGCAACATTTCCGCTTCAGGTTCTATAATCAAGGGTAACAAGACCGGACTGATCTTTGCTTTCATAACGATCGCTCTCATTGTCGATGGTCTCCTCTCCTCAAACTCTTCACTATCTTCGTCGAGAATCTCGAACAATTTAGTCGCAGATAGCTGCTTCTCGAAATCGTAGCCATTAGCTGTTGATTTTGGATTGAATGAGCTGCTAATGTACATCTCGTTAGATCGGTCTCTCGATGGATGCGCGCAAACACAGAGCACAGTGCAAGCGGCGTACCATACTGCATAGATCTTCATTTGTTTCGTGAATATCCCCGTTGCTTGGAAGCCCGGGTAATTCAATCTAATCCACGAATTTACTCGAAATTATATTTATATATCTCCGTAGAGATAGACTAGATACAAGACAGTGACTTCTGATGTAGTAACGCGCCGGCATGCACTGTAACAATCGCGCAATAATACCAGCTCTTTTATATCGCTCGACAATCGTTCAGCCGAACCGAAGACCGATCATCGATTTCACATGGCCTTAGTGTATCTATCGTAGCGTGTAGTCAATTCAAGATCAACGGCGGTTTACAGTACTAGTCGATCAGTGATGCAAATCGAACTCATAGGATTAGATTCAGAGAACAAGAATGTTGTGAAATATAGACATTCTTGCAATTTTTATAAATGGAATCGAATACTTTTATTTTTTCAACCGAAAAAAATGAAATGACTTGAGCTCAGGTATTCTCTATAGATTCGATTAATCGACGAGTAACTCTTCGAATTATTACACAATACCGTCAGGATATTGATTAATGTTGTAGTGAAAGAAAAACCGTTAATAATGCACTCCGCATTTGAAGCACCGCGACCATGAAACTCTCCACGTCGCTAAATAGCGTGTCACTTATACGACGCAGCGGAAGGATAAACGTGTCCTTCTGACATGCGTATATAAAGCGATAACGTTGACGAACGGATATAACAGTGCCTGACAATTCGGCCACGAGACGGTAACGTTGTTATCCGGCGTGGTTACCGAGATGCGGGATTTGGTTAGCATGATTGCGAATTTAGTGTTGGCCCTGCTGTTAGCTAATACACGCGGTGATGGTGCGTCATCGGCAAGGACAACACATATGACGGTCTCTAAGATGAGAATGACCGATCTGGAGACCTCGGCAAGCGGATACGCGTACAATCAGCAAAGGGGTCTTCCGGTCTTGTACATGCGGTATACCAATCACGGAAGCGGACGTTACTACCATGCACCGGCGGCAGTGCATTACATCGTTGGCAGTCCTACACCTGTTGCGCCCACCGTTTCTGAAACTGCGTCGTCGCACGAACCCGTTCCGCTCGCGTATGCGACTGCGAAGCACGAAATTGTACCGTACGTAACGCGTCAGCCTTACCCGCGCGATGGATTCATTAATTATGGCGTGGGCCAATTAGCGAAATACGCGCAACCGCTTGAGCCTCAATTGACTGCACGTGCTGTGCTTGACACATTTAAACCGCTCGAAATGGATAAAAATATCGACAAGAGAAGTGACGACGAGGAGAATGAGGACGATTATGACAGCGATGAGGACGACGACGGCGATAAAAAAGAGAAAAAAGGGCATGTGCCTGAGAATCACGAAAAAGTTGATTTTATAGCAACCCATCCTATTCACGGCCTCGACAACTCTCGTTCAGATATCGACGTTTCGTTTGAACACGGTGAAAAGTATTCGGCCGCGCAGAATTCCGCTCATGGAGAAAAGGGTGACAAAGGGTACAACAAACGAGTGGAATTTGACGTGGGTGAACACGAACAGCATGATAAAAGCAGGCAACAAGGTGGATTTTTGCTTATTTTTTCTACAGACATTGATTTTCTCAATACACTTTTAAACATGTATGTTTTTGCATAAAATTATAGTATTTACTCCGGGTAAGACTACTTTTTACTGAATCTTTCAGAACATTACGATACCGAAATTGGGCACAAAAAAAAACACAGCGACGTAGCTGGAAATTATGGCCGCTACGATGAAATTGAGAATAGTGAGAAGGGTAGTAGTTATGGGCAGACGTCATACCACAAAAAGGGGCAAAAGACCAGCGGCTTTCATAAAGTCTATCACAAGGATGAATATAAAAAGCATACCGATTTCTATGATGAGAGCCACAAGAAAGGTTATTTCGACAAGCACTTCGTTGCTGATGGGCATCATAACGCTGCGGAAGGTGAATTCAAGAAAGGCGGACATCATGAATTCGAGTTTGATAATAGAAATAGTGGGAAAAAAGGATTTTATGACAATGGACATATACAGAATCGCGATCGGGGCTATAATAAAGAAAAAGGTGAAAATTCTTTTCATAATAATTATGAAAATTACGACTCCGATGAAGGCACGCGTTTAATTAAGAAACACGGATATGACAAAGTTGATTGATATTGTTGAACATAAATAATTGAAGGAAAATGTAATTTTATCTATTGTTATTTTATATTCATTGTCATTTATGCGATAAAAAGAAAAAAGTTTATAATCACATTTTTATGATACAGATTCTCATTACATATATTGAAAATGATGAGCTTTATATATATATATATATATAATAT